TTATAGGCTCATTAGCAATCTGTAAAGTATTGATAAATGATTTATTTACCACTGATAAAACCATGGAACCTATCAACCCTTTATAAAGGGTGCCCTATAAAAGAGTGGCACCAGATTTTTTTCTTTTTTTTTGTAGCCCAGAAAAAGTGTTTACCATCATGTACAGTCATGTTTTTTTCTGTCAACACTCCACTGGTGCAATTGAAATGAAATATCTGTCAATGCAATCCGCTGAACAGCATCTGTTATAATAAACATCCTGAAATGATCTAAATTCAGAGCGGGTGAGAAGGGAGACAGGCCCTCTCCTAATATCGATGAACATTACTAACAACCCTGCCTGGTCAATCAGAGTAAATGTCCTGTCCCTGCAGTTGCATCCAGCCTCTGCTCCTCAGCCCCCTCATAACAGAGGACTAATCCATCATCCTGACTGCGGTGGGGAGGGATGAAGCATGCAGAAGAGGGATGCTGGGGGATTTAACTTTATTACCTCCAGAGACGATAAATCTCCAGCAGTTGTCTCCTAGTTTCAGCAGGGGAGATCAAGTTAAACTTCACCCAGAGGAACATAGCCTTTGTCCACTTTTATAAAGTGAGAACAGGAACACCTTGCATCATGGTAATATCATTAAATTAATTAAACTCACGGCATAGCATAAGGGATGTATAGATATTATGGAGAAAAATAGCAATTTGATGCACATGGGCATGAGGCTGCTGTGATATTTTCATTAGAGCCAAACAACATAGTTTTCACCAGTAAAGTGTAACATCTTGTGTTCCTCTCCTCAGTTGAAGGTTTGTATTAATGTATTGTGTAGTTAAGTTATCTCAAAGATGAATGATCCCGTCACAGACTGATCTGGTCAACTTTTTCTTGACAAACAGTGCGCCCTAATGGACTGAAAACCTTTCAGCCAATCTGAAATGTACACATTTATATACTTAAGTATCTTTGCTTACTCTTCTTTTACATAGACATTTAGACAACTTCACTGTGCACAATAATGTATCTGCAGAGTTTGACACTGAAAGGGTATTTTTACAATAATCTGCTGAAGAGGAAAAGTTTCTCTGTACTCACTTGAAATCTGAGTTTAAGACATGTTACGTTCATGATTTTGTGACATCACATATAGTTTGGAAGTCAAGCCTGGTCCAAAATGCAACTTCCACAAGCGTGATGTGGAAACTTGAAACTGTGCTACAGCACAAAGGCTGTCTCTCATGAGGTAGAGCGTGTCTTTTATTAATCCCCGGGATGGTGGTTCAATTTCTGTCAATGTATCAAAGTGACCTTGTGCAAGATACTGGCAGCTGAATGGATGAATGAGAGGCAATATTGTAAAGTGCTTTGTTAGTTAAGGTAGAAAAGCACAGAAATCTTGTGTTCAGTAGTTTTCATAGATTCTGCACTTTCCAATGGGACACAAAGCGTAGGTGTCATCTTTAGAAAATCTTACTTGGTAATTTAACTTTGCTTGAAAAACCATATCAGACATAAACACATAGACATGTTCTCAAAAGCAGCATTTTTATATGTCCAGAAGGGATCTTTGTGGTTTTTCTTTTGCCTTTCAACCTTAAAAAAGTAAATCCCTGCTGCATCCAGCTTACATACACAACACCTCTAGTTAGATGTACATGTGAAACTCAGGTTAATTACTTGCTGGGTCTGATGGACGGCACATGTTACAGTGGTGACTCACAGCACTTGTAGTGTGTACTGTACATACAGTATTTAACTGTCTTCCACTAAAAGCATGTTCAAACAGGCATGAAACATAGCAGGGAGTAAATTGGCATGACGGGGAAGCTAATCTCTGTGGGTCGTCTATTTTTAAAAATGCAGTCTGGTCATTGTATATTTTATTTATATGCGGACTGGCATCCTCAAAAGAGAGCAAGCAGCCTCAGTAGCCAATTACCTCCTCGAGGCAAATCAACTTTTGTTGCTGAAGGGAGACAAAGAGAAGATCCTATAGGCCATTCAGTGCTCTGTGAGACTTCATAAGCAGGTGACTGCTTTTCTTTGCATGGAGACAACAAAGAAAGGTCATGTGAGGCTTCAAAGGACATTATGATATTTTATCTTGCGCACAGCCGCACTGGATAAAGAAGGTGAAATCAACACTCACTGTTATTGTGCAAGAGAATCTATTGCAAGAGGAGAAATATCCCTATTATTTTTCTGGCATGGTGACACATTCTTTGTCTAAAAATGTGATTATTCACCCTGTAAATCTGCTCTGATAGGATTATTTATTCTTTTTATTTTATTGTTCTCTAATTACAGCCATACATTAGAGACCTGGTGATCAAAGTTATTAAATATTTACCAAGCTTTCAAACGTGACCTTTGCAGGCCAACACGCCATGCAGTCACAGTTGGGCTCACTATATTCAAATGACAACCCCTTCTTCTGCCCAACAGCCATCTTTCTCTCTCTCCACTGCACGAGCCAGGTTATCTTTAGTGCACATTGAATATTTATACAGCAGGTGGCTGGGGAGTTGGTCACTGATCTCTAAGGTGACTTGCTGAGCCTCTGTGGGGGGTGCTGGTGCGTTGGGGTTGGCCTGAGATGAAGTCACATGGGACATATTGTCTCCTCAGTGTGTCCTTTTATTCCACTTAGGCAAAGGATTATGTTTTCTGGTTGAATGCACAGAGGAGAAGAGTCAATGAGCTATTAGAATAAGACAGTTATGGCCAAGCTATCATTTGATTTATCTCCAAAAATACATAACCTGTCAGCATCAGAACCAGGATCTAAAAATAGAAGCTACACTCTTTGCTCACACAAACTGTACTCGCAGCACCGCTGTACTGTAACAGAGAAATCCCTTGTCACGCCACACGTAAAACAAATATTAAGAATCTAATGAACATGATAATTGGAGTTTTAGGCTCAGGCTCTTTGATTCATTCTCCTGAAATAGGAGAGGTTAGAGGAGAGGAAGGTGAGGAAAGTGATTTGTGTCCAGGGATGCTCTGAATGCTAATCATGTTGTCTGAGATTGAAGTCAGCCTCATCCCATCAACATGGCTGGGGGACAATAAGAGATGATAATAAAGAAGATACAGGAATCTTCCTTTCATGATAGCTTTTAAGACATCACTCTGAGGGTTGAATTATTTCAATGGAGATCACTTGGCAGTGATGACACTTTCATGCACTGCAGTACTGTGCATTTAAAATCTAAAAAGCCAGAACTTGCATTGTCACAGCTCATGCATAAACTGTTCTCTTAATGTGGGTTATGGCTGCAAAGACTTTTAATGAGCCCACTGCTGTCGGAGAGCAATTTTCCCTTTGAGATGAATTCCTCTTTAATGCATTAGATAGAAAATAATAACTTAGACGAGTACCTCAGACATGAAAGGAGGCAACCAACGCATAATCTTCTAATGTAGCTGTTTACATTTTGTATTGCATAAACTATACAGAATTGTACCACAACAAAAGTATGTGACTGAAGAAAACTTTTTTTGGACTGTTGCTGCGCAGACTTGTAAGAAAGTATCCAATAATAAATTAGCAATTCCCAAAAAGCATGGAGAAACTTTCTGGGCATTGGCATTTCATTGTTGAAGCCACAAAGCTGTCCCTGAACTGAATGTGTGAGATAAGTGCTTTGGAGCACAAACAAATTGAAACAAAAGAACATGAGGTGGAGATTGGTTCAGTAAGTAAGAGAGGGGGAGGAAGCACTTCCAAGGGCATCATAAACCCCAGCATGTGTCTGCACAACAATGCCAACAGGGGCGCAAATTCTCCACACACTGGGAATCGATTTCACACAGAGAGCGGAGGACTTGGAAAGAGGCATATCGCAGAGACACTGAAATAGTGCATCTTGTGTTATTGGATTTGGAGCCCAGTTTTCAGATTTCGTTTTTTTTTTGTGCGGCATCTGCAAGCTGGGGGATCCAGTCAAGTGGAGCTTCCAAGAGCCAGACTGAGAACCTGTGGCCAAGGAAAAGAGAGGAAAGAGGAAAAGAGATTGTTCTGGGTTTTACTTTAGAATAAAATGTATGTCACAATAAGTGTAATAAGAACTAAAGAAACTTTATTTAGTATGGCATAAAATAATGTGCACAAACTTCATAATCTGTAAGATATTATAGTCACAGGAGAACAGTAAAAAAAAAAAGGCCAAACAAAAAACAAAAAACAAAAGAAGAGAGGATTCAATAGCTGTGAACCAGTGTGAGACAAACCTGTGCAACATTTGTTTCTCTAAAGCACATGCATATTTTATTGTGAACAACAACTGGAGACATCACTGAAGGGTCAGAAAAGAGCAACATTAATCCACAAACATCAGACACCAGGAATGGAAATAGTGTCTTAAAATAAATTCTTTTGAGATATTTTGGATATGCACGCTTATTTTAGACTGATTATCTTCCACTGATTGATTTTATGAGGCAAAAAAAGCTTCTTTTTGTTTAGATCAATAAAGCTCACTTTAGAATATTGCAGGAATAATTATCACAGCGATACCAAAGGCCACTGAAAGTCAAAGGATCACCCGTGAGTGTATCAATATAACAGGAACACCATAGTGATACAACTGCTACCATAAAAGTTTATATATAGCCTTTAGCAAATAAGTATCACAAAGACTATCACAGATATATAGGATAGTATAGTATAGAAGTAACTCATTATTAAAAACACATCACATCATTTCCCTGAATATTTAAGAGATGCTATGAATATTTTTTGTTTTTATGAAGGCTGTAATGAATGTTCTGCTCCCAACTGCTGACTAAAGCCAAGTTTTTTTCCCCTCTTCATTTAATTGAATTCAAAGCATGTGATAGTAGTGACACGCCCCCTAGTGTTTGATGTCTGCCAGGCTCCTGGAGTTTGATAACCTTGCTCTGCGTCCGGGAGCATCACTGAAGGAATGTGAATGTGGCTTTGGATGTCCTCCCTCTTGTTGCTAATTGTTGATGCAGCCCCGAGGGGTCCTGTCGCATGGTGATCAGGGCTCATCCCCGAGCTCCCTTCTGATCTCTGTCCGCTTGGACCTACAATGATAAGCAGCGAGAGTGTTTTGGAGAGTGGAGACCAGCCTTGCATCCGGCTGGAGCCCTTGAAGAACACGCACTTGCCGGGCAAGGCGACGCCGACCGGTGGCAGCTGCGCAGTCTTCATGGACGGCAGCCCCAAAGTGACAGCCAACGGGGTGCACGACATAGAGGACCGGATTCTGAGGATCACCGGCTACTACGGCTACAACCCTGGATACTCCAGTCATAGAAGTGAGTAAAAAGAAAACAAAGTATGATTGGGTCATCAGAGGATGCGCAATCTCACGCCTGTCTCTGCCAGGTGTGAGACTGCGTGAATTAAAGAGACCAGATTTTTTAAAATGAGAATATTATGATATAAATATGTGTGTGAAGGAATTTTATACTAATGCAGGCTAAAAAATGCAGTTAATGCAGTGGCAGTGGTGTGCGGTGGGAAGAAACAATGCAGAATCTTTATTCTTTGCTAATTAGTTTTTATTTTATTTTAGCTTTTGCAAATTCGGCTATTGCAAACTCAACTAACTGGGTTTTAATTAAGGCTATTATGGACCAGCACGATGTCAGTCACTGCCAACATTAGCCATCCATCTCTGTGGAGACACAACATGAGAGAGAGAGAGAGAGAGAGAGAGAAAGAGAGAGAGCGAGCAAATTTAACTCTCCCAGGCTGTAATTACACAGCAAAGTGCCATGCACAAATTATGCTGGTGATTCAATTTCGAAGTTAATTGTTTAAATTGTAGCCCAATGTTGTCCACATCAAACACTCATGTTGGTGAACAATCTGCAAACAACGACTTACATGGCAGCTTCATATTGAATTCCAAATATTTAATTAAAACAATCAATTTCCCAAATGACAAATACAGCAGCTCTTGCTGTGACGCATGTGAGTATTGCCAGCTTTCTCTCCTGACATGCTTGAGATATAGAAATCCTACTACAAGTTAAGCTCCTCTATAATTTTCATTTGTCAATGTGGTTTTGATTGGTAGAGCAATATTCCTGAATTTTGCTGACACGAAAACAGTGGCTGGGATTGGAGGAGAGAGCTGATGATGCACTTTGTTCAGGGGATGATCTTTAAAATCTTACCCTCCAGTTCTGTTAAAGTATTGCTGGTGCCAGTGGGATTATAACAGTGGAGAAGAACAAACATTGCAATGCTCTGTGCACTGCCAATTAGTGGTTTTACAAATGGCTTTATGGTAATAAAGCAAAGTGTGTAGAGCAAAATTTCACAAGGTCTGTAGCATTAGAGTGTTTGCAGGTTCTCACCTCTGTGTTACATAATTGGCCTATTCATTGCATGTGTGTCATCATTCTTTATTAAAGATAGGGATGAACTGGGGCTTTTCTTGAATAAATCCACCTAAAAATGTAGTTGGTCATCTATCTGTGAGCCTCTTGTGTTTCAGATGCCGGTGTACTTCACCCCAAATGAATTGGACTTGTCACGTAAGCTCCCTAACGTCTCCCTCTGGCTGTTACATAAAAGCCCAGCTACAAATTCATGACTTAGAGAATACACGTCTGGAAGAGAGATGTACTCCTAATGTTATGACGTTCTTTCCTAAATCTACTACTCAACCCTTGTACTCTGTGACATAGTGCATTACTCTGACACAACTTCTCTAAGGTCTCGAAGGAAATGTGTGTATGCAGATAAGGGCCTCATTCAATCAAGAACAGTTCCAGTTGAGGCTCTTGTGGATGAGCTGCGTGCACCTCAATGGATTTTTAGATAGAGGCTGAGGAAAAGGAAATGAGCCTGTCTCACATTAACTGGCTCCTGTTTATAAGGGGTGTCAGTTGCAGTAGATTAACCATGAATGCAATCACACTCTTTCATTTGAGAATATATCTGCACGTCTAAATCAATCTATTGAAAGAATACCTGCTAAACAAGGGACACCCAAAGGTTTGGATTAAAGAATTTTAACAATTCAAGGCCCTCTGACGCAACAGTTATATTGTGTGCCAAATATAAGGCTTTTGGAAGAGAGAGAGAGAGAGAGAATTAAGACTTATAATATCATTTAATGTGTCATTTGTGCTAATTGCATCAAATATAGAAGCCAGTTGAAAACACAGACAAAAACTGGGATTTTAGTTGACTTACTGACACAGAATTCATTTGCTTATTTCATTGATGCTTGACTGGCGTGATCCATTATATCAATGCCAACATACACTATCACTATCAATATGACATAATATTCAACTATTTTAGTAATCTATGAATTGTTTTAGTCCTTTAAAAATGGTTAAAAATAAATGATTAGTTGAGAATATAATTGGCTGATAAATTGATAAAAAATACTTGATAGTTGCAGCCCTAGATCCCAGTACACATGCCTCTGTTGGTCCAATCTTGTATTGTATACTGTAGCAGAGTAAAATAAAAGATAGGGTGTCATCTGTGATGTAATTTCAGGTATAAGGAGCAGGTGTGGATTGTAATAGAATCCATGCCAAGCCTATAAAAGCCAGTGCATCTGTAAGCGAAAGGCTTATTTGATTTGAGAGACATTTCCCATTTCTCTGATAAAATATGCCATCTGTTTGCCCTGTGTTTTTCCATCTATCCATCAACTGATTTTTGTGCATGCCAGAGTCAACAGAAGGTATTCCTCAGGGCAGCATACTTGTCACCATATTTCCTGCTTGCACAGCTATTAAACATGCTGTTGCTGATGCTGTCACTGTGAAGACGTCTGACTAAATTACTCCTGTGTAAACCCATCCTCCTCATTTCTTCTTAGAAACGAAAACGTTGAAAGTCTCTTTTCTTTTAATGCTTCGTGCTGCCGGAAAGCGTCACATTCATTTACTTAGTTTCGTTTTGTAAACTTTGAGTTGAGAATTCACACGTCCCTCAATCTGTTGAGTGTCATTTTCCATAAAGGGTTAGACAAAGGAGCACGTAAATAGAACAGTAGGCTCATCCTGCCAAGCCTGTGGGGTAATGATATATTTAGTAAAATTCTGTTGCCAGTTTATTATTGCCACTTGCCATCTGCGTTGAATTAAAAGATGCCTCTGAGGGGGATTGTGGACTACATTTCATGACAGGGTCTAGGCTGTAGAATATGCAGTATGGTTATGATATGATATGTGCAGTGAGGATATAACAGTAAGAAGATAAATGTCATGCTAAACAAGCAATTTTATGTAGATAACTGCAAGAAAAATTTAAATGAAATAAAATTAAAATCAGAAAAAAGAAAAAAAACAGCATATTCTTAGCACCTCAACTCTGGCTCCTGCTGGCACAAACACCAATGGAGTGTGCAGCAAATGCTTCCTCAGCATCTTCTTGAAAAACCATTACAATAATTTGCTGTGTATCTTGAATAACTAATTTAGAAAAGGACAACTCTGTAGTGCTGGCACACTCCCCGCTGGGGATACAGGTATGGTGCAGTAGAAATGACAGGTACTTGTAGTGGCAGTCCCACTCAGTACTGTGCCTGTGGTGTTCAGCGCTGGCATCTCAGCAAGACAACAGCACATACAGGCACTCAGAGGAAATTTATGAAGGAAGGGCGTGAAAAACAAGCATTTATCACAATGGGGTGTGTTTTTATGTGCACTTCAGTCTACAGAGAAAGAAAGGAGAAAGAGGATAGAAACACAAAGAAAATAGACAGGTCTCTGAAATCCATTCATGCTTGCACTGATTGGTAACGCACTTCGCATTTTTGAAACCATTTATATCCTGTGTTAACACCAGGTGAATTTCCACTTTTCCCCTCAAACATTGCCCCAAACATCCTGTATATGCTTGCACTTATTTTGGACTGTCCCGTTCCCATGCCTGCACACTCAGTGCTATTTATAACAAGCCTAGCCTCGAATGGGATATGAGCTTCGCCTGAACGACTCCTGGAGTGCTGTTACTCTCACATGCTCCTGGGAATGAGCAAAACACCCTGCATGTAATGGGTGCAATATTTCTCCATAGGAGCAACACAACTGCTGACCTGTACTCCCACCATCGTGCTATTGGTCACATGTTGTAATACTGTGTGTCAGGTGACGAAGTACTTTGGCTGGTTCCAGCAATTCGCTTTGCAGTTGAGAATATTTTCTCCCGCAAATAATTTTCTGTAATCCAGAAGCAATATTACATAATAGGAGGGCACACTGTGTGAAAGGTTTGTAATGGCCTTTCCATCATGCTGAGTACAGTAACAGTCTTGTCAGCAGGCTAACACTGCCATCTTGTGGTCTGCAAAGCCAACAACAACAATAAGGGGATCCTCTACATCCTACACAACAAATGCCTGTACTTAGTACTTAGTCTATGCTACCTCTGTGCTTTAATCAGAATGAAAACAATTTTATGCCACAGCTCGTTGTCTCTGCAACAGCCAAACCAATCCTTAGAGTAGACACATGTATCCATTTACCCATAGAGGTAACCTACTTAGCCATTAGGATTGTTTATGTTTTGTCCCTGAGATTTCTGCTGCTACGCCAAATTAGCAATGGTGTCAGGAATTAAATATGTGGTGCTCAAAGCATTAAATGAAAAATGTAATTTGAAGAACTCAATAACAACTTGTCTTGGCTGAATTACCAATCAGGCTAAGTGGTAAACTGCTGTGGGGCCCACTCACGTCCCAAAAGCCCCAGATTGACAAATGCAAATTTGTTGAAAAAATGAGCCTCTAAACTACAATATCAATTAAGACAGGTCTTGCATTATTACCTAATCACGTGGCCTTTAATTATTATTATTTTAGTTTATATTTTGATTCACAGTGGATTTATAGTATTTATTCCTAAATAAAGTATTAAATCAAATGAGGGACAAGACAGTTTCCAGCATAGGAGTAGTGGTTGGTCTCTGGGAAAATAATAACTGTTAGGGCTAGCCAAAATACTTAGTCACCTGACATACAGTGCTACAACGTATGACAGCACAGTGGCATTAGTACAGGTCAGCAGTTCTGTAACTCCTATATGGGAGAAATATTGCAACCCATTACTTGGAAGGTTTCAGCCCGGGGGCACCTAACAGGCTAATCCAGCAGTGTTCTTTCCAATAATGTTCCTGTCAAAAGACCATTCACTGTAGCTAGAAAAATGTTCAGTATGTGCACCTGTAATACTATCCATCATGTTAACCATGTTCACCACTAGGTGTCCTCATCTTCCAATGTACAACTACATTGAGTGGAGTTTGTGATATAAGGTCCAGTGAGTGGAAGCACTTGAGT